TGGAGGCAGAAATTGGGCATAAGATGACATGAGGGCATAAGGTGATATGAGGGGTGGTCTCCTCCCTTATTGTGAGCAAACTTGGTTGGAGGAAGTAGGAGGAGGACATCATGGAAGCCAGGGAAAGGCTGCCACAGTGACTCAGCATATAGGACTTTAGCTTATACAGGGTGATAGTGTCAGGGGAGATACAAAGAAGTGGATGGATTTGGGAAATTTTCTGGAAGTTGTCTTGACAGCACTCAGTGATGGATTGGATGTAAGGAATGTGGGAGAAAAAGATGTCAAAAATGACTCCAAGTTTTCTAACTTGAGCACTCCCAGAAGGAGAGATTAGTGGAGATTTAGGAATGTTTATCTTTCAGATGCTTATGGAGACATCCGAATAGAGATGTCAGGTGGGCAACTGGAGAAAGGAGTTGGGAGCTCAAAAGCAGCTGGATTGCTCTTAATTTGCCTGCAATACAATTTTCTGGGTTTTGTTTGTTTGTTTTTGTGTTTTTTGAGACGGAGTCTCGCTCTGTTGCAGGCTGGAGTGCAGTGGTGCGGTCTCGGCTCACTGCAAACTCCAACTCCCTGGTTCAAACGATTCTCCTGCCTCAGCCTCCCGAGTAGCTGGGATTACAGGTGCCCACCATCACATCCAGGTAATTTTTGTATTTTTAGGAGAGACGGGGTCTCACCATGTTGGCCAGGCTGGTCTCAATCTCCTGACCTTGTGATCTGCCTGCCTGGGTCTCCCAAAGTGCTGCGATTACAGGTGAGAGCCACCGCACCCGGCCACAATCTTCTGTTTATTCCCTCCAGAACTGTCTTCATTCCTCCCACCATCCTCTCCAGGCTGCTTCCCTGCTGAATGGCCGTATTTTTTTCACATCTAGATCTTTGCGTGGGATAATGTCCCTCTACCTCCCCATCCCATCACATGGCTACATCTTACCAGATTTATAGCCTTGACCCTCCCTCTACCATGAGCCCCCAGCCCCCACTTCTCACCCTACGACACCTCACCTCGTCAGAGCCCTTGTCACACTGCATTGTGGTCGCATCTTCCCTTGTCCTTCAACTCCCCCATGGAATGCAAATTCCTTGAAGCAGGAAGCATTTCTTATTTAGGGTCATGTCCCTAGCAGCGATAGACACTTGGTAAATAACCCTGGATGAATGAATTGACCTTTGACTTCAGCTTCTTCTTGTTCCAATTCACAGAGAATATCATATCCAAAGTACACTACTCTGGACCTCCCTCTCCTAAGATGTCTCCCTTCCTTAGAAGCTCTGGAGGCTTCCTGTTGTTTACTGCTTCCAAAGGAGGCTTCCTGCCCCTCTCTTCTCTTCTCGAATATATGGAAACAGAAAGCATGCAAGGCCTGAATGTTTTGAGGTCAGGGTTTCTTAACAAGTGAGGTATTATAAATAGCTTCTACATATCCAAGGAGCCACCAGAGCAGGAGGTGCTGGGGATCAACAGGGAAGACGTAAAGGAGCCTCTAACACTTTCCTGTAGGTATAACGTCAGGTCCAGTGGGCGGAATTTCAATTCCTTATAGGCACCTTTCTCAGGAGACATGGTACATTGAGGTCCTTGAGCCACTTTTAGTTCATTTTTAAAAGAGTCTGTTGCATAGAAGCAAAACTTCCCGAACTCTCAAATGGGGAAGGCTGTCTGTGAGACCACAGATATGTAATTACAGCTGACTTTGTGCAATAAGATAATTACTTAATCTTCTTTTGCACATAATAGTAAGTATGAATAGAAAAACGAAACTAGATGCTAATGATAGCAACTGTAGGTTTATATGAGCTTGTTATAATTGAGAACATGATGGCCACATGGCCAGGCTAAATCTTTGACCTTGAATGACCAGCCAGTGTACTTTAGGTAGCCAACTGTGGGTTCCGTTGTGAAGGATAAGGAAAAATAATGGTTAATCATGTACAAAACATTGGGAATACATTGTTGCATGCTGAATCTAGGTGAGGGGAAATTAGGGATGTAAAAGATCTTTTAGCTCTCTTAAAAGAAATGCCTTATGATATACAAGTCTATGGTTTCATTTTCAGGAGGTTCCAGAAATATATTATGGATGACAGTTGGGAGCTGACTGATAAAAGAGGGCCCAGAGGTCTTGGAACTATTTGAAATGCTGCAACAGCAACTATGCAGGAGTTTCCTTAAAGGAGATCTAGAGTTATCTGGGGAGACAGCTTCATAACTGACCTTACTGGTGAAATGCATGGTACAGAGGAAAACAGCTTTCATCAACAGTCCAAGCTGTCTAATTTAAAAAAGATAGGAAGTCTATGCTCTAACTAGGTGCGAGTCAGAATTACCTAGAGTGCTTGTTAAACCCTGTGTTTCTAATTCAGTAGGTCTGAGGCAGGCAGGAATTTGCATGTCTCCCAAGCTTCTATGTGATGCTCTGTGGTTCAGGGACCACACTTTGAGAACTACTCCAGACTAATGGCTTTTAACCTTGTATATACATTAGAATCTCTTGGGGAGCTTCTTAAATATACCCATGTTAAGGCTTCTGCCCCTAGTGTTTCTAAATGTAATTGGTCTGAATTGTGTTCAGGCTTCAGAATTTTTTTTTTTTCTTTCTTTTTTGAGACAGGGTCTCCCTCTATCACCCAGGCTGGAGATCAGTGGCACGATCACAGTTCTCTGCAGCCTTGACTTCCAGGGCTCAAGTGGGTGCCTCATCCTCTTAGGTAGCTGGGACCACAAGTGTGCCACCACACCTGGCTCATTTTTGTATTTTTTGTAGACATAGGGTTTTGTCATGTTGCCCAGGCTGGTCTTGAACTCCTGGGCTCAAGCCATCCACCCACCTTGGCTCCCAAAGTGCTGGTATTACTTGCGTGAGCCACCGTGTCCAACCAGGCTTTGGAATCTCTTGAGGTTTCTTCAGGTCATTCGAATATTTGCCCAAGCTCGATGACCACTGCTCTAAACTGTGCCATCAGGTTAATAAGTAGATTTTGTGCTGGGCACAGTGGCTCACACCTGTAGTCCCAGCACTTTGGGAGGCTGAGGCGGGTGAATCACTTGAGGTCACGAGTTCAAGACCAGCCTGACCAACACGGAGAAGCCCCCATCTCTACTAAAAATACAAAAAATTAGCCAGGCATGGTGGCGCATGCCTGTAATCCCAGCTACTCGGGAGGTTGAGGTAGGAGAATCGCTTGAACCTGGGAGGCGGAGGTTGCAGTGAAGGAAATCGTGCCATTACACTCCAGCCTGGGCAATAAGAACTAGAAATTAACAGCAATGTTAATACAACACAACTAGAAATTAACAGCATTGATTTGCTTTCATTGTGCCTTTTAACAAGAGCAAAATTCCATCTCAAAAAAAAAAAAAAAAAAACTAGATTTTAGGTCCATTTTGTTGTCTTTCTGTAGAAAAAGCATAAAATTGATGAGATGGGGTGCAAAGTCAAGTCAACACTTCTATTTCACACACCTATGTTACCGAGTGGCCAATTTCTAGCTTTGAAGAAACTAGTCCCCACGGAATGCTAGCTTTTGAAAACCAAATCTTAAGTAAGGCTTGTTTTCTGACTGACGCACTTACACCCTGTTCTAGTTAAGTCAGGGTTTTCTTTCCACTGCTTTGCCAAAACGCTAGACTAATTTTCAACTCCGTGCCTCTCCGAGGTATTTTCTTAGTGGGAGGCACAGTGTTTCCAAAAATGTCAGAAAACCAAGAGAACTGCCAGAGATGATTTGGGGTTGGGAGGTGGGCACCCATATTTTAGAGACCTAACCATGAATAACATTGAGTAAGTCATTCCTTCACCAAGTGGCATTTATTCTTCATGGCAAGATGCAAATCTCACTTATGTGCCAGTCTTGAACTGTAGAATCTTTGCCAGGAGCAGCGAGTGAGTCTAAAGTAAGGCTAGTGTGGTTTCAGTGATACTCTCTGGCTAGAAATGAACAGCATTGCTTTGCTGTCATTGTGCCTTTTAAAAATGATGATCTCTTGATGGCAAGACATCATGGTGTTTTCCTTAAAATATGTTTCCTTTTAAAGTTAAGTAAAATCAGAGTGTGAATCAAATGGTTAAAGTAGCAAATACTAATTGTACAGATGGTGTGCCAGGTCAAAAGTAAGCAGAAGGTAGTTTGAGACGGATTAAAGACACAGAAATGCTTTAAAGACACCGGGCGCGGTGGCTGAAGCCTGTAATCCCAGCACTTTGGGAGGCCGAGGAGGGCGGATCACGAGGTCAGGAGATCAAGACCGTCCTGGTGAACACGGTGAAACCCCGTCTCTATAAAAATACAAAAAAATTAGCCGGGTGTGGTGGCGGGCGCCTGTAGTCCCAGCTTCTAGGGAGGCTGAGGCAGGAGAATGGCTTGAACCCGGGAGGCGGCGGAACTTGCAGTGAGCCAGGATCGTGCCACTGCACTCCAGCCTGGGCGACAGAGGGAGACTCCGTCTCAAAAAAAAAAAAAAAAAAATAAACAGAAATGCTGCCTCATCTGAGTCCTTTCTGTCTCTGTCTTGCAGATAAGGATCTCCACCTAACAGAAGAACACTCTGTAAAAGTGAGAAGAGAAGGCACCTATTATCAAAATCCACCCAGCCATAGGAGCTGTGCTCACATTGCACCTGTCACGTGACATGTGGCTGCCCATGCACACGAACCTGTGGCATTGAAAGACTAGGGCAGGCAGCGGCTTCGGTATTCTTGGAATCCTGTGTCATGGACAGCACTTCCTGGGGGCTGTGGGGAAGCTCCACGGGGGCACATGAGCCCCTCTCACCGATCTTGTCTTCAGAGTCATTTATAAAAAAAAAAAATCCACCCTAAATGCTTGTGGATTAGTTGTATATTGGATTGCACCGTTTAAAATCTGAAAGATCAGCCGGCCCTCAGAATGACTGTGTGTGTGTGTAAGTGCATATGCGCACACATGGAATTATTAAATAAAATATTGCTACCTTGTCTTTCTGTAATACTTAAGAAGACATAAAGGTACCCACATGTTGGCAAAATATATTTTATTTGTTCATACAAAGAAATAGTATGAATTACCAGAATTTCATTTGCCTAGAAACATCTTTCTCTGTGTAAAATTAATTTGTGTTATACATAGGACAAAATACTTGATTTAATTTTTTGTACATATTGGCTATCCTAACATCCAAGTTATCAAAGACATACTGCTAGAATTTGCACAGTATTTGAGATTACTGGGTTGAATGATACTCAGGGATAAATTAATGTCACAAAAGTGAAAAACCATCTAACCACACCTTTTAAGTTTTATTGGCCATCCTCTTGACAAGCTGAAAAGAAAAGTCACATTAGCTTCCGTGTCAGCGTCTTAGATATGTACTGTTTCTAGTATATTGGAACCTTCCATTATCCTTTTTTACAAAAATATCCTGGCAGGATCTGAAACTGTTTCTCTAAATGTCTAAAATGTATCTGTCACTCAAAATGACCCCCAAAGAGAATCCTGGGAAGAAAACAATTTCTCCTCCTCCATCATCCAATTAAGTATTTGTTAAACAGTCACTACACTTAAAATACCTTTCCAGGTACCACCTACTAAGTTAACAGACTACTGTTCAAACACCGCAAAGAAAGCATGAACTAGATAGAAACAAGAAAAACCTCCCAATTTTTTTTTTGTTGAACTTTTTGTTTGTTTTTAAATGAGAAAAGAAACAAAACTGAGGAAAAAAAAGAAGTATTCCAATGAATATCAGAGCTTTTCCTGTAAATTGGAGGAAGCCCAAAACACATGCCAGGACAAATTGCCGAAACAGAAAAGGGTGTTTGTCTTCTGGTAGCTAAAAAGTTAAGCTTGGTGGTCTTGCAGATTGCTAGAACAGGGAGAAATCTAAGGCTTACGTTACTTAACTTCCGCAGGAGGAAGATGACCGTCAGATGACGGGGTGCAAGCTCCGGCAGATGCTGCCACCAGATCTGTCAGGAACTTTAAACCATCAGACCCTTATGAGGAGATGTACATGATGTTTGATTTGTCTTACATAGAAAAACTTGCTGTATTCCATCGGTACTAATTATGGACATCTGTTGGAATTCAAGGATTTGACCCAGAATAGAATTTTGACTCACTTCAGTGTTCATGACTAAATGACCCTCCTTCTACCAGAAAAATTTCCTGTTTCAGTTTTAAGGCAGGGAATAAAGAATTTAATAAAACATTGTCCAGCTTGGAAAGAGGGCGGGGCCCTGAAGGGGAGGGGAAAGCTCCTGCGTGTTTTCCTATGGCTTTGTTGCATACTCTTCTCTCAACTCTTCCGTAGTTCCACATCGACAGCCACATCAGACCATCCGAGTGGTCAGAAATTAGACAGGGCAAGACCAGGTAAAAGACTTGGATACTGCCTTTTACTTCAAGCCAAGTTATGCTGTAAACTGAAAAGAGGTGTTCTCAGTTTGATTTCAAATAAATGAAAAAATGCACGACCAATTAGCACCCTTTTGCAGGTGTTTTTCACACCCACTCATCAAGAAGGCAGAACCACACTATGATTCGGGTATTTCCCTAAGTGCAGGTCCCACATTACTTTCTGGAGACAGTGGAAAAGCTAAGAAATGGATATAGCATTGGAGAACAGGGAGAAACCTGACATGCGCAGATCCCCCATGAGCTTCCTCCAAAACAGAACTTACACAATGATGGTTTGGTTGCTAAGTGTAAGCTAGTTAGATGTAGGCTAAAACTTTTGGGCAAATACAAACCGGATTTTCAAGACATCACTTAAAGACCAGTGACATCTCTGATCAATTTCCAAAAATGAATTATCTTTTCCTCTTTTCATACAATGTTTCTTATACTACCAGGCAAGTGATCCCATACAACATACAGAAGGGTCCTTTGTAACTATCCCATCCCAACCATTTTGACAATATGTATATCTTCCCACATATTCCTTGATGGAAGTATAACTGAAATCACAATTCTTTTACGGTAGACGCATTCTGGTTTAAAAGGTTTAAAAAACTGAGGTTAAATTAAACATGTCATTATGTGATATTGCTATATGTTTAACCAACTGCCCCTGTATTACTATATGGCTACTCAATTGCCACTATATTGCTATCTGGTTACCCAACTGTTATAAACCAACAGAGAGGCACGGGGAGAGCATTCTGCACATCAGTGACAGTGCTGCTAACCCTTCTGTCAAGACCTGGCTAAAACAAGGGACAGTTGTATGAGCATCAGGCTCAAGGGTTTACAGGCAACATGGGGCCAGCTTTCCCAACCTTTTTTTTTTTTTTTTTTACAAGGGCTACTCTTAGTTCTTGCTGTTTGGCCACTGGCTACCACCCATATTATCACTCTGAGAGATCATTCTGAGATGAGCTAGGAATTCCAAAGACACATCAAGCTGAGGTGTCAGACTCCCTTCCTCTGCCAGGCTGCCTGTCCTTTTGAGGCCTTTGTCCTTTCTGCCTATTGAGGCTGTGAGCCTGCTGCCCAACACTGGCTGGCTCTGTACCTAGCAGCACCTTGGTAGACACTGATGCCGAGGGACACAGCTGACCCCTCTGAGTCTCGACACCCAGCGCCCTTGGTTTGTGCCGGCGGCTCTGCTAGCCTACGGGATTCTTTGGTGTGTCAAAGCAGAACTGTCTGCCTGGGGAACGCAGCATGGTGTAGTTTCATGCAAATTAAAGGAGATCATCTTGATTTCTGAAGCAGCACCCAAGCATCTCACACATGTGACCTTGGAAAGAAGGGGCAACAATCTGCATGCACTTCAAACTGGTTAATGAACCAGGGAATGGGGCAGAGGAGGATACAGGGCCATCCTTCAAAAATCAAAAGCTGAAGTCAATGGACCCTAGCAATTTGACTCTAAAAGGATGTGGATAGCGGGCGCAGTGGCTCACGCCTGTAATCCCAGCACTTTGGGAGGCCAAGGCAGGCGGATCACCTGAGGTCGGGAGTTCGAGACCAGCCTGACCAACATGGAGAAACCCTGTCTCTACTAAAAATACAAAATTAGCCAGGTGTGGTGGTGCATGCCTGTAACCCCAACTACTTGGGAGGTTGAGACAGGAGAATTGCTTGAACCGGGAGGCGGAGGTTGTGGTTAGCCCATATTGCGCCATTGCACTCCAGCCTGGGCAACAAGAATAAGACTCCATCTCCAAAAAATAAAATAAAATAAAATAAAGGATGTGGATGTCCTTGTAAAGGGAGTGAGAGATTTCTCCATGTACTGAATGGAGGTGGGGACAGAACCCTAGCCCTGTGGCTTTCAGGCTACATCATTGGACCCACATCTGCAAGGAGGCTGCTACATGAGGTCTGCCCTTCAGAATACAGCCCTGTTGAGGCAGCTCAGCGTTCCTACGAGGTACACAGGCAGGAAGAGACAGGGAAGCTGGAATGGGACACCCAAGACAAGACAAGGAGGCAGCAACTGGAAAACTCAGACGGTGACTGAAGGCTGAATACCCGTAACAACAAAAATCTCAAGTTGTGCTTTTCTTTGTTTTAAATATAACAGGTAGGGGAGAAGAAAGAAATGGAAGCACCATCAATTGTGAGGAAGAGAACAAAATTTTAGAGTTAAACACTTTGGAATGTTAACAGATTATGAAGCTAACTCTCTCAAGAGTGTGGCTAGGCAGCTTAGTGAATTAATTGCTTATGAATTAAAAATAAATTATTATAAAATAGATTTCTGTACATTTTACATACATATAATCTCTGTCAATAGATAAGCCACGTGGGTAAGGTACACAGCCCTGGTCTGTTCAATCCCAGCCAAAGTCGTGCCCGGTCATCTGGTAGAACTTGAGGTTGAAAGGCCGGTAGAACTCGCGCAGCCTGCGCACCACCTCGCGGTCGATCTCAGGGTGGGTCCTGCCCTTGGTCTTGCCCAGGCAGTGGGGCCGGCTGCTGCCCTCCGCCTTCTTCAGGCAGGGGAAGCCCTTGGTCTTGTTGAAGTAGAAGTGCTTGTCCGTGATGATCCGCTTGAGGCCCAGGAAGTCCTGCACGCGGCCCAGCTCGCCGGCCGGGTCGCTGATGAGCCGCTCGCCGCTCACGAAGAGCATCTGGCGGATGGGGAAGTGGCGCAGCCAATGCTCCAGGTGCTTGGCGTAGATGCCGATCTGGATGGCGCTCCACGACGTGTCGATGAGGCCCGTCGTCCGGTTTTTGAACGTCAAGCTCTCGAAGGTGGGGATGTCGGGCCGCTTGGACAGCGTCTGTGTGTAGTCCGAGATGGCCCTGGTCACCGGGTCCCGCACCACCACGATGAGCTTGGTGTCCTTGGACATGGCCGAGATGCGCGCGGGCGCCTCCCGCGTGACGAAGTAACTGGGCGTCTTCTCCATGGTGATCTGCCCGTCCAGGGTTCTGGGCATCAGGTCCCTGAGAAAAGCAAGCAAACAAACCGGGGTCAGAAGGTGACGCCTCTCTGGCCACACGTCTTAAGGTCACCACTTCGAATCCCAGCTCCCTCTTATTTCCGGAAGCAGTGGTAGAAACATGTAAAAATGCAAGTGGAACTTTAGAGATGAAAGGTACATGAGCATCCCACCTGGTTTGGAGGGCAGGTACCATCTACCGGAAACATGAAGGCCCCTTCACCAAGGTTGAAAGAGCAAGCTACCTGTTTCTCTAAGATTCTCTTGTGGGTATAACCTTCCCTTATTTTCGCAGCTTTCAGATTGCCCCAAGCATCTCGTGCCAAAATACAAAAGCCTTTGGCCTCTGATAAGTGCCTTTCCTAAAAATATAGCACCCAGGACTCCCAGAGATTTCACTGTCCATGAGTCCTGCTGCTAGTCCGCCTTCCCACACTTGCCAAACCCAGGCAAATGTGCCGTGGACACCGGAAGGAAAACATCCCTTGGGTCCAGCCCAGTTGTTCCAGGTTTATCACAGTGACTGCTGACAAAGCCTTTACTCCACAAAGCAACAAAGCACACAGCAGTCAAAAAATTCGGTGACATCAGGTAAGTAAACTGATACAAACATGCCACGAGAAAATTCCCAAGACACAATTCTAGAAACCTCCAAAAATACTTTAGAGGGGGTACTATGCTCACTACCTGGGTGACGGGATCAATGGTACCCCAAATATCAGCATCATGCAATATGCCCATGTAACAAATACCTGCATGTGTATCCCCTGAATCTAAAACAAAAGTTGAAATTATAAACAACAATTAAAAAAAAAAACAAACAAAAATGGGCTGGGTACAGTGGCTCATACCATTAATCCCAGCATTTTGGGAGGCAGAGGCGGGCAGATCACCTGAGGTCAGGAGATTGAGACCAGCCTGGACAAAATGGAGAAACTCAGTCTCTACTAAAAGCTAAAAAGAAATTACCCAGACATGGTGGTGCATGTCTGTAATCCCAGCTACTTGGGAGGCTGAACAGGAGAATTGCTGGAACCAGGGAAGCAGAGGTTGCAGCAAGTCGAGATGGTGCTATTGCACTCCCACCCGGGCAACAAGAGCGAAACTCTGTCTCAAAAAAAGAAAAAAAAAAAAAAAAAAGGCTGGGTGCGGCGGCTCACGCCTGCAATCCCAACACTTTGGGAGGCCGAGGCTGGCGGATCACGAGGTCAAGAGATCGAGACCATCTTGGCTAACACGATGAAACCCCATCTCTACTAAAAATGCAAAAAATTAGCCAGGCGTGGTGGCGGGCGTCTGTAGTCCCAGCTACTCAGGAGGCTGAGACAGGAGAATGGCATAAACCCGGGAGGTGCAGCTTGCAGTGAGCCGAGATCGGGCCATTGCACTCCAGCCTGGGCAACAAAAAACAAACAACAACAACAAAAAAAATTAAATGAGGTTAGATCTAGCAATCTCATTTCTGGATATATATGTATATATATATATACACACAAAGGAATTGAAATTGGTATGTCAAAGAAATATCTGCATTTCTCTGTTCATTTTATAATAGCATTATTCAAAACTGACAAGATATGGAAGCCACTTAAGTGTCTATCAACAGAGAATAGATTTTTTAAGTGTAGTATATATGCACAATGAAATATTATACAGCCTTTAAAAAGAAGGAAATTCTGTCATTTGCAATAACATGAATGCAACTGTAAGACGTTATGTTAAGTGAAATAAATCAGCACAGAAAGACAATACTGTGTTATCTCATTTATATGTAGAATCTAAAAAAGTTGATCTCACAGAAAGAAAGTAAAAATGTGGTTACCAGAGGCTGGTTGGGGGATTAAAGGGAAGATGATGAAAGACAAGATGTTGATCAAGGGGTTCTAAGTTTCAGTTAGACTGGAGAAATAAGTTGTAGTGATCTATTTTACTGCACAGTGACCACAGTTAATAATAATGTATTGTGTATTTCAAAACTTCTACAAAAACAGATTTTCAAGTTTACCACACACAAAAAATGATAAGTTGGTGAGGTGATGAATATGTTGATTTGCTTGATTGAATCTTTCTTTTTTTTTTGAGACGGAGTCTCGCTCTGTCACCCAGGCTAGAGTGCAGTGGCATGGTCTCGGCTCACTGCAACCTCTGTCTCTCAGGTTCAAGCAATTCTCCTGCCTCAATCTCCTGAGTAGCTGGGACTACAGGCGCCCACAACCACGTCCAGCTAATTATTGTATTTTTAGTAGAGACGGGGTTTCACCATGTTGGCCAGGATGGTCTCGATCTCCTGGCCTTGTGATCTACCTGCCTCGGCCTCCCAAAGTGCTGGGATTAAAGGTGTGAGCCACTGCTCTTGGCCATTGATTAAACCTTTCTGGAATGTAAACGTAGATCAAAATATCATCTTGTACCCCCAAAATATGCACAATTATTTATTACAAATAATTTTTTTAAAAAAGGAAAAAAATTAAATGAAAGTCATAAAGCTGACTCAGTTTAGCTTAAATTAGCTCCTTAAATTAGTTAAGGAATTTGGGCTCTAAAGTCAGACTGCCTAGGTTTAAATCCTGACTCTACCACTTATAAGTTATGTCACTTTGAATAATTTATTTAACTTTTCTGGGCTTCTTTTTCTCGTCCACAAAAATGGAGCTACCAATACGTATTCATGGAAGTTTAATGAGGATTAAACAATTAATCATTATAATATGATTAGAACACACCTGACATATGGAATATACTTGACAAATATCAGCCACTACTACTGTCATTATTATTATCATTATTAAGTTGCTCAATACACAGTTTATGGCATGTGATAGAACCAAAATTCAGCATATGTGTATAAGTGCTAGCGTGTATGCATCAAAAGGAGGTGTGTTATCTAAGTGGATACTAAGCGTTGGCCACAGATCTACAATCAGGCAAGTTATTATTTACAAGTCGGATAATTTATTGTGTGCCTGCGATTATTCTAGATATCATGTTAGAGGCTATATCATCTATTAGCTATCTACTATGGAATAGAGATTTCTGATTTATTCCTGCCTAGGCACAGGAATTAAAGGGGGAAAAAAAAAGACAATTTCCACATTATTTTTGACCAAATATTTACCTCTCAGTAAGGCATTCTAAGCTTCAAGCCATCTTAATCCACAGAGACCACAATTGCCCTGTCTAGCACTGATAGGGAAACCACAGAAACTTTATCACAGGAGACAGAAAAGGCAATTCTCTAGAGGGCAGGCACTCCTTCTTCCGGACTGCCAACAGGGAGTTTGAAGAAGGGTGTTTTTCCCTTAAGGAAGATTGCTCAGCAGCACTGCAGTCAGCCTTGGTTTAAGCTAAAGCTGGATTGACCCACTTTGCCCATTAACCACTTAAATTAATGTAGCAGTGTCATCAGCCTAATGTGGTTGAGGATTACAGAGAGTCTCAGCTCGCAACTTATTTTGCATTTGACCAAAAAGCAGGTCAAGTCAGATAAAGCCCAACTTCTTTTTCCTCTGTGTTAAACCATCTGCAACTAGACAGTTTACAAGAAGTTAATATTCAGAATCAAAGCATTATCACCACGATTGAAGGAATATACCAAACCCCAGGGTTCTTCAGGGCCGTTGCAGAGAAGGGGGTTTAGGGGCATACTCGGTGTCAGTCTGACCTAGCATGGGCTTGGAAGTCAGGCCACCGAGTTTGACTCTCAGCACCTCCATTTACTAAGGTGTGTGACCTTCGGGGATACCATCACTTAATCTGTTCATGTTGCAGTTTTCTCATCTGAATTAAAAAAAAAAAAAAAAAGATGATGTTTGCCTCCCAGGGCTTTTGAAAGAACTGCAAAGTTAGCTTTGGTACCCAGCCTGGTACCTAGTAGGCTGTTAGAAAAATGTTATCAATTATCTTCTGTTGACAGGATCTTGGAAAGGATGTAAGGAAGCAAGGTTTTTGCGCAGGGGACTTGTCACTCATTCAGTTCTACCCCACAGTGGGGCAATGAGGGAGGTTTGGCTCCTGGAAGAGGCTAAGTGCAGGAATGCTGGATTCCGCTTTCAGCCTGCCTGGGGTCCACAGCCTTCCCTGAACTCTGCAGCCGGAATTTCCTCACTGGCCCTAAAGAAGGGTTTGTCAGTAGCTGAACAGAATGCTAAATTGGCAATTGTGTATAAGAAACCACATAATAAAGCTAGTAAAAAGGAAATGAGAGATCAACCATAAATAAAGATTCCCTGAGCTGTGGGCAGATTTACTGTGCTCGACCGCCTGCTGGTCCCCTCAACCATATAAGAGCCCCTCTCCCCAGGACAGTCTGGTGTTTGTCTACATGTGTCAGAAAGCACTCAAGGAGCCTCAGAATTTATTTTGATTATTGTCAAAATAACCGAGCCAGGGGAACTACTGCTGTGACAAAGAGACTTCTAAGCCCTTGTCCAGTGGAGGCTCTGGGGCTGCTCTCCCCTCAGCATGCCTGGGTGCAGACAAGCAGTGGCTGAGAAGTGAGATCCACAACAGAATTTATCATTTTGGCAAATGCCTCCTGAGCCCTCTCCAGAGGCTTCCTGGGACACATCTGTAGTAGGCGCTGGGCTCAGACCCTGGTATCTCCCAGCATGCCCCTGTGGATCCATCTGTTACAGAAAAAAATTACTCAGCTGGGCTCGGTGGCTCACGCCTGGAATCCCAGCACTTTAGGAGGCCGAGGTCCACTTGAGGTCAGGAGTTCGAGACCAGCCTGGCCAACATGGTGAAACCCCATCTCTCCTAAAAATACAAAAATGAACTGAGCATGGTGGCACACATGCCTGTAATCCTGGCTACTTGGGAGGCTGAGACAGGAGAATCTCTTGAGCCTGGGAGGCGGAGGTTGCAGTGAGCTGAGATTGCGCCACGGCACTCCAACCTGGGCAACAGGGCGAGACTCTGTCTCAAAAGAAAAAAAAAAGAAAAAATTAGTCAATCACGCTTGTTAAATCACAGTAGCAAAGACTTTATTCAGGACCATCGTGA